GACAACCTCTACAACCAGTTTATGCAATTCTGCTGTAAGTGTTTCTTCTTCAAAAGAAAACAAGTTGCCTCAAGAAAGATTTTCAAAAAACTTCTCAAAAACTGATGCGAATCTTTCTTGAAAAGAGTGCTGAAGTTTGCTTTATTGATTGCTCAAGGATGTGTAAAGATGATATTCAATGTGTGTTTAAAAAGTTCAAGCAACTCTGTTTTTATAGAAGATTTTCAAAACTGCTGGTTTAATTAATCTGTTAAAAGATTCTTTTAATCTGTTAAAAGTGCAGTTTTAATCTGTTAAAACTTCTTTTAATCCATTAAAACGTTCTTGATTCTTTAACAGATTTGTTTTAACTGATACGACAACGTTTGTATCAATTAAAACACTTTACAAAAAAATCTTTTAAGTTTATTTAATCGATTGTTTCGTGATTCAATCGATTGAAATACTGCACAACTTTCTTGTAACACTTTTCAAGTTATTTTAACTGATAAAAATAAGTTTTAATCGATTAAAACGCTGTGTAGAAATTTTCTAAGTTGTTTTAATCGATTGAAACGAGATTTAATCGATTAAAATAGTTATGATCGGTCATAACTAAATTCTGATCGAGCATAACTTATTCTGATCGGTCATAATTCAGTTCTGATCGATCATATCTGATTCTAACCGGTCATAATTGTATTCTGATCGATCATCCTGAACTCCAAGTGGTTTTAACCCATTAAACTCAAGTTGTATCGATTAAAATACTGTAAAAACACTTCTCTGAATATTGTAAGTAATTTTAATCGGTTCTATCAAAGCTGTATCAGTTAAAAACTTGTTTAAGAAAGCTGATAAATGTCTGGATAAACTTGTTGAAAAACTCAACTTGTTTTTTATCACATGTCTGATAAATGTCTACAACCGATGATTGTTACGTAAATGTATGGACCATCAACTGCTGATAAACGTCAAACGCAGTTACCCAAATAATTTAAGTTGGTTCACCACATATTAGAATCAATTTTCGCTCAAGCGTTCAAAAAGTCGCTTGAGCGAGATAGAACCCGAGAGTCTCCCTTGTTTGAAGGCTCCTTCGCTCGAGCGATAGCTTTATCGCTTGAGCGAGGATAAACCCAATGACGAAACGTCACACGCAGTTAGCCAAATAATTTAAGTTGGTTCACCACATAATAGAATCAATTTTCGCTCAAACGCGAAAAACATCGCTTGCGCGAGATAGAACCCGAGATTCTCCCTTGTTTGAAGGATGCGTCGCTCAAGCCATAACTTTGTCGCTTGAGCGAGGTTATTTATACCCAATGACGAAACGTCACACGCAGTTAGCCAAATAATTTAAGTTGGTTCACCACATATTGGAATCACTTGTCGCTCAAGCGGTAAAAACATCGCTTGAGCGAGATAGAACCCGATGGTCCCTATTGGTTAAGGTTCCATCGCTCAAGGGATGTCATACTCGCTTGAGCGACTGGTGAACCACAGACGAAACGTCCTACGCAGTTAGCCATGTACTAAATCTTGGTTCACCACATATAAGATTCAGCTGTCGCTCAAGCGATTACCTAGTCGCTTGAGCGCCTCTGAACGCGAGAGGCACGAAGCGACCTTAGATAGCGGTTGATAAGACCCGCTTTTAAAAATATATATTAGATAGCGGTTAACGGTAAACCGCTGTCTAATGTATGTTAATGATCGATTATAACCTAAAATAATCGGACATATTATCTTTTTTTCTAATATCACTCAAGCGAAATTAACATCGCTCGAGCGACACCAGCTCCTAAGAATGGGGATTCTTGGGTTGTGTTTCGCTTGAGCGAAAAGAATCTCGCTCGAGCGACGCCACCTCCTGAGAATGGGGTCACCCATGCTACATTATGCGGCTAACTTTGATCGACGTTTAGCCCAAGGTCAACATTAGCTCAAGCGAAATTTACATCGCTCGAGCGACACCACCTGCAAGAAATTGGGATTCTCGGGTTGTATTTCGCTTGAGCGACATTAATCTTGCTCGAGCGATATCTGGTTCAACCGTGATATTTGTCACTTTTAAGAGTTGTAGACATATAAACATTATGTGGTTAATTATGATAGACATTTAGTCATGTTTTACTATTGGCTTAACCATATATCTGCTGACCACTTCAACTTTATGTGCTTAACTGAACATGACATTTTTGTGTTAATTATGTGCTAAATTTGTATAGCCCACATTATATGCTTAACCACTTGACTATATATCATTAAATGCACATAAACATACATGATCAGTCGAACAACACATCGGAGGAAGATACAATGCTATCACTATGAGATAAAAAGTAATGTACAATATAACATTATCACAGGCCACAAAAATTACATCATAAAGGTCTGCATCAAATATAAATTACAATTACAACAAAACCTAACAAAATAATTCATCTACACAACACTTATGTCGCCTTTTTTCTTTTCCTTGAATTAGTCGTCCACGGTGTTTTGACCGTAAAACTTTTATACATTATTCTTGGATGACCTTTAAGTCGCGTATACATATTTGACCCTTCAAAATGCAACTTTGATTCTTTTGTTGCTTCAACATGATGCTTCATCTCTTTAATACTACTACCTTCAAATACTGGAGAAAAGTACATCCCACATGATGGAGGATTTACTTCTTCTGTTGATAGTTTTGCTTCATCTAACAATTCGTGTAATTGTGTTACATCTTCCTCTAGTTTTTCAATTGTTGATTCCTCGTTGTTTGGTTACGGCAATCAACATTTGATTCTCAAGCACTAATTCCACACAACATATTAGTAAAATTTTTCACTTCTTCGGATGCATAAGTGGTATGTCCTAATGCTTCTTTCACTATATCATGAGCAAGCTCTTCATTTCGACGCACAAGTCATGAATAACCTATGAGTAACAAACAATGTCAAATTGAAATCACATTTTGACATATGGTAAAGTAATATTGCAAACAAGTTCTACTAAATTTTTCATGAACTAACCCTATTATGATTAAACGCAACTACAATCTTGCTTTCCCCAATTACAACAGAGGTCCATTGTAAAAATCTCGAAATCGACTTATCTCATTACATGATTTGGTATTATAAAGTACATGCTCCATGACCCATACCCGAATTCATATAAACAAAATGCACAATATCAAATCAGCTGACTATATTGAAAGTATTCTAACAAAACATATATCGTAATTTAAGATTTACCCGTAACAAAAACACACATCCTAGAACACGTAAGTGTGAACAATTTCTTCGTTTCTTCAAATAAATCGATGCTTCACATAAACTTCCAACCAGATATTCATACACTGTTTTTCCCCAATTATACTTTCCAAGACAAGATATATTATCTATTAACTTAAAAAATCCACAATGTGCGATACCTACTTCATTAGGGAATAAAAACTCTGACAAACCTAAGAGTATGTACAACCTACAAAAGTCATCGACATCCTTATCATTTTGATGTTTAACAAGTTCATTAAAAATCATTTCCAAAGTAACATGTTTCCCATTAAATAGTCTCCTAGTATGACAATCAATGTTTCCTTCTACAATGCTGACATTTTCGCCTACTACACGAAGTCCTAAACCTAAACACACATCTAATAGTGTTAAGCATACTATCTCAGACCTTATATTAAATCCTCCTCTCTTTTCAACCCATCTACTTATTAATTCACTAAGCAATGTTCTACTAATTTTGACCTTTCTACCCAATGACATCAACCATTTAAATGGTGTTGCCTCAATACGACTTCTTTGCTCCGTAGTAAGAATGTTATTCACTTCACCCAAATAATTAGTCCTGCAAACATGTCGCAAATATACTCGAAAATCACATTAAATAATTATAATTATCATCAACAATATCCTATATTATATAAATGGATACAACATTCACCTTCTTAACATTTGAAGATCCATCGTCTATGCTTTCCATTTCAAACTGCAAATACATGTAACCCTATTTAATTTGAGTTCATAGTATAAAATTTATTTACTCGTCATGACGTTTACTACAGTGTCGAGCACATTCATACAAGTATTTCATGACAACAATCCGAGTATCATCTAACAATGAATATCATAAAAGTTATGTCAAAGCATATACTCATTTTCATTACTAAGGGTCAATAACATGCAGTAAGAAAACACAATTTCAGATCTCAATGTAGACAAACTCTACACCCTAAACCCTAAAAATATATAATGCACTAACTCCCAATAAGCGCGTCCTACAACAGCAATGGCGAATGGAGACTGGAACGCGAACTTGGCGACACACAAATATATTACAATGTAATATGCTTCAATGTGAGCAAGAGAATCAGAAAGATTGAAAATACAAAGAACGTACCTTTAGCTTAATAGAAGACGCAGAGAGCGAGAATGAAAGCGCAGAGAGCGAGAATGAGAGCGGCCAAAAAACGCAGACAGAAAGAGCGCGAAGTTGAAGAAAGTTAGAGGTAGGGTGTAGAAAAAATATGACTTTAGATAGCGGTTCACTCCTAACCGCTCTTTAAAAGTATGAAATTAGATAGCGGTTATTTATGAACCGCTAATAAAACATACTTTAGATAGCGGTTATTTCTGAACCGCTATCTAAAGTTTAATATTTTTTTAATCGGTTGTCGAACGGATGTTTAAAATGGGTGTAAAAATATCATGACTCCAATGGATATATATTGGAACGTCACAACTCATGCAAGCACAAAATGAAAGCCGAAGAGGAGACAAAGTGGATGAATAAAAAATAAATAAATAAATAAAAAGCTTAATTAATGATTACAAATCACATCCTCAAACCAGTTCAAGAATCGATGGACTACAGAGCTAGCTGCATTTAAAAAGCAAGCAGTGCCAAATCCATTTTTTGTATTTTTTTTTTATGGGGATCCGACGTACGCTAAAAAGAGATCACAACACTCAAACTCAAAGATGCAAATACAAGAACACGTCTCTCTCAGCTACTTAAACTTAAGCTTTGGCAAAGCTGGAGTCAAAAGGAACGGAAGTGGCAGGCAACCAGGCGCTAGCTTGGAGCCAGGGCTCAGCAGTGTATTTGGCAGCCTCTTCCCTGCTGATGATACCTTTTGCAAAGGGTGCCCTTGATGTAGCAACGGAACCTGGTCCACTGTTGCCGTACTCAGCGAAGTAACAGTCCTGGGTGTTGGGCTCAAGATCGTTCCAAGGAATGTATCCCACTGGCTGGATCAAGTCACCGATCACATTCTCAATGAACACTGCCCTGGAGAATGCCTTCCATGGCCTGGCAAGGTATGTCTTCACGGTCAAGCGATCAGCGGCCAGTGAAGGGTCGGGCAAGATCTCACAGTTCTGGAGGACAATTCCTGTGGGCATGTTCTTCTGCTGTGTTCCATCTGCCACCACTATGTTCTGTTGGTTCACGCCTGGCTTCCTCACCAAGATCTTCGAGTTCTGGATCAAGGTGGTAGCGTAGCCGAAGATGAAGTCGATTGTTCCAGAGATTTCGCAGTTACGGTAGAACTGACGGTGGGCGTGTACGTACAATGTATCTTGGTAACCGCGCATTGCACAATCAAAAAACACTGAACGATCACCCTGCACGCGAAGAGCCACTGCTTGGTGTCCTTCTGCTCCGGCGGTGTTCTCGAATGCAATAGACTTCGCCATGAAATCTTCAGCAACGGTGGCTGCAAATTTTCAAAATATTAATTAACCAGAGATACACATGATAATTGATCTAGATATTAGGCAAATATGTTCTTGTTTGGATGGAAGGAGAGGAAGTTGGACTTACAGAAGGTAGCGGTTCTCATGGTCTTGGTACCCTCGGCGTAGTTTTTGCGTCCGGTGATGATGGTCTTGGTGGGGCCATCGCCATAGATGAGAAGGTTAACCTTCTTCTTGTCAACAAGGATGTACTCATCATACACACCAGCCTTGACGTAGATGATGAATCTACCTTGATGTTTCTTGGGATAGGAGTTGATAGCGTCCAAAATGGTAGTGAATTGGCCACTGCCATCCTTAGCCACTGTAGCATGGGGTATAACTCCACCGTTATCAATATTATCCAAGAGCTTGCGATCAGCAGCGGAGAACCAAGTGGGGTATCCCTCTTGATCAATATCGAGAAGGCGACGAGAGGCGGGTTTCAGAATCAAGTTCAAGTCCAAGGATTGAAGAATCTTCGCAATCCCCGATACGATATCAAGTGCCAAGCCAGTGAGCTTCCCAACTTGGTCCAAGCTATTGGACTGTAACTGTTCCTGAACCTTCTTCTCGCCGTCCGTGTTGAACCCGTCGAGGCACGATTGCTGATAGGCAACAACAGCACCTAGCCAGTTCTTGATTTCGGAGGTGTGGTTGTTAACGGCGTCGATGTTGCTCTCTTGGACCAACACACCCGAGGCCTCCAGTTCGTGGATTGCGGATTGCAACAAGTCCTTGCAATCGTCGAGAGCCATCTTCATTCCTGCGCTGCTGTTGCCGTGTTCCACTGTGAGCCTGTCGCTCATGTTGAACGCTTTGATGACACTGTCCATCGAGGTTTTCACAACGGTGGCAATGTAATCCTTAGGGTTTGAGCTCTTTGTGGTGGAAAGCACACTGTGGCAAAATTGTTGATCATCTGAGTTTTGGCACAACGCTGTCACGGCCCTGTTCGTGGTTTTTAATTCTCCTGTGCTGCTCGTCTCGTTCTTCGGGCTCTGAACCACAGCAACCACGCCAATGACCACACCCACACAAAGGATGAGAGAAACGCCGGCACCGATTATTTTCCCACTCATTTTTTTTTTTTTGGGTTATAATCTTTCTGAGGGTTTTCTTTCTTTCCTTTTTTTTTTTTTATCGGCCGATCCTCTCCGAATCTGACAACCAAAAGTGAGAAGCCAAATCGGAGAGAAAGGGCTGATGGGAAGGATGCTTTTCCTTCCCTGTTTATTGTTTGAGGAGATTGCAATGAGAAACCATGCAGAAATGGGGTTGTATTTATACGTGATAAGAGGTCCTTCAAAGATGGAATTCAGGCGTTGACCGTGTTACGTGGAAGCTTTAGTTTTGTGGCTTGTGTGTTCCACCATAAATGGAACTCAACCATTGCCTAAATACGCTCCTTCCAGTTATTGACCTATTCCTATTATCAATTCACTGGTAAAGAGAAAAAATTGTTCAAAAATTACCCTAATCTATTTTGAAGTTTTTTTTTTCTACTTTTCCTTTGTTATTTCTTAAATTAATATTATTTCATTTTTTTCTACTTTTACTTACTCTGGTACACCATTCATTTTATTTTCTTCAAATATTTTTGTTACTTTCTTGGTAATTCAGGATTTATATATTGTGATAGTGGTGTTTATTATGTCTTTTCAATTTTTTCCATGCAATTGAAAAATCTCTATGATATGTCAAAGATCTTTAAAAACATAAAAATTAAGAAGTAGTAGAATTATTAAACTTAAAAAAGGTAAGATTTCTATCTAGACAAACAACACGTGAGTGTAATGTACAGTGAGTTAAAGATTTATCACAGAAAATAAATTTAAATATTTATAGTCATTTATGAAGTTAATGATTTTTTTTTATATTTCAAAATATTTCTTGATGAACTCAGTGATAGAGTAAAATTCATTTCTCGATACAAACTTAAAACAGGTAGACAATAGATTGGTATAATATTAAAACTTCCAATTATTATTTTCAGAATTATAAGATATATTGAAAGTAATATCTTTACTCTTTATTATTTAAATATAAAAATAAAACATGATATAATATGTTACATATTAAAAATGAATTATATATATATATAAGTCTTTAAAAAAGCTTTTAGGGTATATTTATATACACAATCAATATTGAGATATGACATAGTATCATTCTCAAACATTTAATAAGTATATCTTCTTTTTGGTTTGAGTATCCAGACCTTAACCATTAGGATCAATATATTAAATAATTATTAAATTTGATGGTATCAAAATCTTAAATTATAATGAAGTTACTGAAACTGAAGAAATGTGAGAGGATAAAATTATAAATATATAAGTAAATATATTAAATTATTATTAAATTTAGAGATAAAATTATAAATTATACGGAAGTTACAAAACTTTGAGAGTCACGACCCCCTTCAGTTCTCAAGAAGATCTATCAGATGTGTACTTATAAATTCATTCATAGTGATTTTTGCATGCTAAGATACTTATTTAAGAGATTTTTTTTACTTATAATTTTATGGTACACATTACATATAGTTATGATTTGTGTTCATATTTTTAACCTCAACTTTGCAATGTTCTTAATTTCATATTTTTAAGCTTCCATGTATCGAACTATTACAATTTCTTAGTCTTGAAACAAACAAAAAAAAATCTAATAAAACTGGGTTGTTTTTTAGTCCATTGAAGTTATAATATTACACAATCTCCTAGTGTAGAGACAAAGACGTTAATATAACGAAATGGATCCTTTGACCAATCAATGTAATAACATTATATAATTCTTTAGAAGTAAAGATCAAGAGGCTAATAAATGAGGTTAGTTTTTATTTTTTTTATCGACGAGATTAATATAAGTGGATCAATTTAAAGATGACAACTCAGTAAAATAAACTTGAAAATGTAATAATATAAAAGCTAAATAAATGAGATCTATTAAAATTATAAAATAGGATCATCCATAGCTCAAAAGTTTGTTAATGGAGATAAGTTAAAATTACATGTATATTAATTAAGATCATGTGTGCATCAATTGAGAGTACATAAGGAAAAGTTAAGATCATATTTGGATAAATTAAGATGAAGATGAGAACCTTAAAAGATGAAATTTCATTGTAGACATGAAAGCTTTGGTTTTGTGGCTTGTGTATTCAACCATAAATGGAACTTCACCATTACTTAAATATGTTTTTTCTAGTCGTGGCTTTTGTGTATTCCACCATAAATGAAACTCAACCATTGTCACCCTAACAAACTCTTTCACTCTCAACCAATGTGTTGAAATTGCAAAAGATATGATGTCTAAAGATTTTGATGATGATACAAGAACAAAGGACTTCAAGATTAGAAGACTCATACACATTTGTAATAGTTTATAATAACTCGTTTAGTCATCTTGAGTCTCGTAAATATAGAGTCCAAAATAGCCCGCACATTAGTTTGTCCACAAAAGTTTTATTTTTATCAAAACTGCACTGTGATAATCGATTATCACTAAGGATAATCGATTATCCAATTAAAAATTTGATTTGTTAAAATGACTCTAGAATAATGGATTATTGATATGGGATAATCGATTATTCTGGTAGCTCTTGGATTTTTGAAATTGATTCTGGAATAATCGATTATCACTCATGATAATCGATTATCCTGGACAACTTTGGTTTTCTGATAAAAGCTCCTGTGATAATCGATTATAACTAAGGATAATCGATTATCCATGACAGTTATGAATTTGAAATTCAAATTTTAACCTAATTTTTGGAAAAACTCTATTTAAAGGGTCTCTCATTCTCTCTGAAAACAACATTTTTGATACTCAGAAGTTAAGAGTTGTGTTTGCTGAGAGAACTTTTAGTAGTGAGCAAAAAGGAGCTTTGAAAACCTAGTGTGGGCAAAAGATGATAAGAATCACTAAGTGGGTTTCTCAATGGATTGAGTGTTGTGTTGTCTCTAGGAAAGCTGTCTTCATCCTTTATGGCTTCAAACGAGGTGTTCATCTCTTGTGTGACTCAAGATAGGTGTTTTCTAATCTTTTCTATATTAGTAATCTATTTATCTGATTGAACTATTATTTTAGTGACTAAGTTAATCATCTTTTAGAGTGATTAACAATTGCACGTAGGGTCTTTTGATCTGAACCAGTATAAAATACTTATGTGATCTTCTTCCCTTGTCTCTTTACTTTTCAAGTGCTCTATTATATTAAAAGAAAGAATCAATACCTTTTAATCAGTAAAATCTTGCGAAATTTTTTAAAGAGCTAATTTTTATAAGAAACCAATTAACCCCCGCCCTCTTGGTTTTTGTCTTAATGTGAATATTCCGCTACGCGATACCAACAAGTAGTATCAGAGCTTGCTTTGATAGATTTTCAAAAAATTTTAAAATTTATAGACAAAACCAAACCTTTGCTGAGAGTACCTCTATTAACAGACCCTCACTTTTCGCTGGTCAAAATTATCCTTTCTGGAAAGTTAGGATGTAGATATTTTTGGAGTCTATTGACAAAGGTGTCTAGGAAGCTGTCCTAAATGACCCTTTTATTCCTAAAATGACTGTTAATGATGTAGAGGAACCGAAACCCTTTTCTTGATGGACTGCGGAGGAGAGTAGAAAGGCTCAATATGATGTTAGGGCTAGAAATATAATTTCATCTGCTTTGACCCTTAATGAGTTTTACAGGATCTCAATGTGAAAAAGTGCTCAGGAGATGTGGGAAGTACTGAGAGTGACTCACGAAGGAACTGACAATGTGAAAAGAGCAAGGAAAAATTCCTTAATACAATAATATGAAATGTTCCAGATGCAACAAGGAGAAATGATTTTTGATTTCCAAAAGCGTTTCACACACATCGTCAACCACCTCCCTCGGCTTGGTAAGAACTTTGACACTGATGAATTAAATGTTAAAATTCTAAAGTCTTTGGACAGGAAATGACAACCCAAGGTGACTGCTATCACGGAGTCTCAAAATCTTTCAACTATGACAATAGCGGGTCTCTTTGAAAATCTGAGAGAGCACGAGCATGAACTGGGAAGGTTGAATGATGAGGAAGGCCAAAGTAACAAAAAGAACATTGCCTTCAAAACTGAGGTCATAAAAAGCAAGAAGAAGAAGGAAGAAGAAGATTCTGATGATGAAGAAGATGAGAACTTAAGTCTCATAATTAAGAAGTTCACCAAGTTCATGAAAGCAAAAGGGAGGCATCCATTCAAAGGCAAGAGGAATGAAAAAGAAGGATCTTCCTCAAATTTCAAATGCTATGGATGCGTAGAAACCGGACATGTAAAAGCCGACTGCCCTAACAAAAAAATGGGTGATGATTCTAAAGGAAGAAAATCCTACAAAAAGAAAGCCTACATTGCTTGGGAGGAAAGTGACTCTAATTCAAAGTCAAGTGATTCCGAGGTTGAAGTAAACTTTTACTTGATGGAAAATAATAATTACTCTTTTGACTGCTCTTTTAGTGATAATGAAGATGATTATGACGTCTTACATAATGCATATCAAGAATTTTTTACTGCTTATAAAGTTTTGAAATTTGAACATAAAACCCTGAAAAAGAATTTGAATAAATTTGAAAAAGAAGTGAATTTTTGAAAACTAAAATTGTATCTTTTAAAGAAAAAGGAGTTGAACCAATTGTGTGTGCATCATGTAAGAGTTATGAATTTGACATATGCATACTTGAACATTTACTAGAAAATTCTACGAAAAATATGGTTGATTTTAGAAAGGATAAAAATCAAAATTTCGTGAAAACTAAAGTTAATAGTCATGCTTCTTTGAAAAGAACTAGAAATAAATAAAAACCTGCAAAGTATGGGTTGTGAAAGGGACTGTACTTCCACAAAATAAAGTTAAATCTTTCTCAAAAATTAAATCCTCAAATGCATGTTTTTATTGTATGAAACAGGGATATATTTCAAATAAATGTAAGATTAAGCATTTTAGTGTTCCTAAAGGGAAATATGTTTGGGTACCCATAGTTAAATAATTTGATTATCTTTAACCCCAAGGACCCAAAAGTTTATGGGGACCTAAGATCATTGTTCCCTTATTTTGT